GTTCCATCCAATTATTTTAATAATGTTACTGGTTATTTTAGTCTTACTGAATGCTTTTTTTATAGAACCCACTGTTTTGTATTGTTTTTTAGAAATGGGCTGATCACATCAATGCCTAGAATGTCTTGGTGAGGCCTCGCATTTTGGCTTCATTGGTGGCAAGTCTGACAGGTAAGTAATGTCTATGTAAGTACATACCATGGCAGCAGCATAGCAAGTAGCCCTGCTGGGGGGTGGGGTGGGTAAGGGGCCCTATAAAGTCTGTTTTACATCAGTTGTTGGGATCCCTTCCTCAGCCTGGGCTTGTTCATCGATTTTATTACCAGTAGCATTTCCTCACATCAGGTGCTTGGGTCAGTCACTAAGTTAGCCATGGCAAAGGAGGGAAGTCCCTTATATTCTGCCTGGGGCTTTAGGTACAGATACCTAAATAATTTAATATTTCATGGGCTCGCAGGGCCATGATTAATACCATCAAGTCTGAGCTGTTGGTATTAGTTTCAGAAATTTGAATCAGCCCTGGCTGGTGTGGTTCAGTGGACTGAGTGCTGGCCTGTGAACCAAGGGGTTGTGGGTTCGATTCCCAGTCAGGGCACATGCCTGGGTTGCAGGCTAGGTCCCCAGTGGTGGGCGTGTGAGAAGCAACCACATATTGATGTTTCCCTCCCTCTCTTTCTCCCTCCCTTCCCCTCTCTCTAAAAATAAAAACTTAAAATATTTTTGAATCGATTAATCAACCTGAGCTTTGAAATGAGCCTCTGCAGTTTGAGGTTTATTTACTATGTGCAGAGTTAGGAGTCACCTTGATTAATTATGAGGGGTGAACTTTGATGAGTTTTTTGCTTTTGGGACCAGAGAGCAAGATCACTGGCAATGACCAAAGAGTGTGTAAAAACCTGCAGATGAGTTTGACCCTGGGCCGCTGGCATCCTGTAGTGCAAGCGTAACTGCAGGAATCTGACTGAGCTCAGGTTTGGATACAGCCTTTGATCCTAGATGGCCTGTTTGATCCGGAACAGAACATAGTGCCTCTCCACTGGACTCTTATCAGGTGCGGCGGCGCAGGGTCCGTAAAGGATGTGAACTCTCCTGGTCACTCCTGTGATCCCAAGGAACTTCCCAAATGGCCAGTGAGTCTAGAAAATGGGTGATTTCCTCCAGAACAATTGTGTCAGTCTGAGGACAGGGGGACACACTGCCTTCTGTTGGAGGGATAGAGTAGCGGCCCCATTTTTGGCTCTGTCCTGTAACATCTTTTCAATGAGGCCTCTGAGGTGAAGTCAGGACTACGTAAGTGTATGTATGAGGGGCCCTGACTTCACGACTCAAGGCAAAATGAAAGGCTGGCTGCGTTGATCAGCAGCTCAGGGCCCGCATCAGGCTCCATTTCCAGGATTTTGTTGCCAGCAGCGGCTGCTCTAAATGTGTTTAGCACTAGGCCGAGATCAGTTACTTGCACCTGAATTCCAGGGCCGACACGGGTGGTTTAGAGACCCTGGGAGGCATGAGAGCAGGCTGCTAAAGCACCTGTGGTGCAGGAGTCTGAGCAGGGAGACACTAAGGGAGGGTCCATCATTTGGTTGGATTCTAGGGCCACCTGTTTCCCAATTTTATTTTGTGACAAAGCTGTCAGAGCTGATAATTATACAATACCTAGGACTGTTGTGGCCAAGAGTCATGCGTTGCCCCATATTTCTACTGGTCCTTCCACCCTCTCATTGCACAGCCCCCTGGTGTTGCCACAGAGAAATTTTCCAGAGTAGAACGTATGGATTTCTAACAGTGCTTCCCAGCAAACAAGCACAGAGGGAGCTTGAGATGGGAAACAGCTGTCAACAGCCTTAAGACCGTCGTGGAAAGACATGAGGCTGATGCTCGTGAACGAGGACGTCCCTGGGCAGATCGCTCTTGGGGAGAATGATATACCTTTCAGAGCCGCGTGCTTTAAAACCACAGTATTTCCAAAGACCTGACCAAGGAACCTCATGTAAACAAAGACTTGGGAAGCCTTCTCACCTCTCCTGTTATGAGGGCAAGTGCACAACTATAGGTGTTTTTTAAGACAGGATGGTGCTTCAGGAAAGCCCTGCTGGGGTCCGAGTCCTCCTCCCTCCGCCCTTCACTTCTTCGGGCGTGTCCTGAGGTGGTGGGGAAGTGTTGCACAGGTGAAAACCAAGGTTCGGCAAAGCCTAGCATCCTCTTGGCACATGAAAATTATGTTTTCTAGTAATCATTTTGAATTTATACACATACTAAGTGTGAGTTTTCACAAAAGTATTGTAATTCTATCAAAAGATGGAGTACTACAACCGATGTTTTAGGTCCCTGTTTGCCCTTTCTGGAATGCAATATAAACAGAACATATTGTCATGAGTCATTTGTGAGATTAAGTGCCTCATTCCTTGCAGTCTTCTGAGTTTAAAATTCTGACAGAGCTCAGTTAGTAGGTGGAAGGTAGCAGGCTTTCAAAATCCACATTCCACCACTATGAGCTCTGTGAGTTTGGGCACCAACTTGTTCTGCGCTGCATTTCCTCATTTGCAAGATAGAGGGCTGGACTGGCAGTGGCGCCAAGGGATAGACTAACATTAGGAAAGGACACTCTCTACAGCGCTAAGGCCGGCACTAAAAAATGGACAAGGATCAACTTTCCTTCCACCTCTAAACAAAGTCGAAGCTGTTACATTTGTGTCTTCCTGGCCCACATGCTGGAAGGCTAAGCATACGGAAACGGCAACTGTGAACAGGAAGACCGGCTCTGGGGCTCTGGGGCTCGCTGAAACAAAGAGCTGCTGGCTACTCATCTTAAAGGCACTGCAAATTCTCCTTATCCCTTTTTATGTTAAGTGAGGTTAGTACTCAAAATGATATCCTCTCTCTACAGATCACTCCTCGGATGACTGCTTTCTAAACATGTGAAGCTCTTTTATAGTGTTTCTACTAGGAAATCACAGCAGGTTTGCATAAATATATTTATTCCTACAATAAATTCAGGGTGGGTCAGAACAGTGCAGATAAACATAACCTTTTCTCAAACTGGGAGGAACTCCAGGGTTTAATGGGGTCCATACTGTGTGTGTATTGAGATGCAAAATGAAAATGCCAACTACTACTAGAAAACTTTTAAATAGTTAAACGTGAGTTAGAATTCTCTTAAATGTTCAACACAGAGACACTACAAATATATGTGACCTAAATCAATGGGAAGTCTCCAGTCCCACATCCAAACTCATGACATTATGTAGAAAACTGCAAAAAATAAAGATGAACCATGGCTGTATCTTTATAGGGAATCTTTCCTGTTAATCACAGGAATGCAGGCCTCTCTACCTGCACTGCTTCCCTCTATTTATCTCCACACCCAAGCAGTTCCTGAAACAATGTTTAGGGTGTAGTACACGGTAGAAATTCAAGTGATGATGACAGTCACTCACAGAGGATCCTACCTTCATAGCAAAGATGCATCCACACCCCAGCTGCCCTGATCTCTCTGTTTTTAACATTCTAAGCTCTCATTTCTGTCTTATATACCAAAGCATTACCATTTGTTAACCATCTCTTTTCTCACAAAAATATGAGCACCAAGACTTGTTTTGTGCCTCTATATCCAAGTCCTGCAGGGCCTTGATTATTTGTGCTACACTGTGTTTTGAATATACAGTGTCTGGTAGGTGAGGCATGTTGAAAAATGAGTCAGAAATACAGTCTTTGAGTGAGGAAGGCTTAATTGCAATAGTGGTCCTGTCCTTCTCCCTTGCTGGGCCTGTGTTCTCATGCAAATAAACACAGAGGATCCGCTTGAGTCATAAAGGAGACAAAAAAGGTTTTAATTACTTTACTAAGAAATTTATATATTTTCACTGAGGTACTTTATAATAAATAGTGCCCATCCAATACACTGTAGGAAATACATCAGTGTTTAGATAATGAGTAGGGAGACAAAAGCTGTTCCGGTGGACAGTGAGCTGGCCCCGCATGCTCTTACTGTATTGAAGAGGAAAAGGTCAAAACACTTCCATCAGCAGACAAAACTAATCAGTGAACATGTTGAATCAAGACAAAAATAAGGGTATTTTGTAATCTTCCCTCTAAAACTGGTAAGATTGCTAAGAGAACCATTTTAAATCATAGCAATGACCAAAATCCCCTACCTAATACAATGACTGACTGGAGATTCTTTTGACTTAAGTTTTACCTCTACTACACTGTTTTTGAAAACAATGTTTATGACTATCAATGATAGAATTAAGTTCACCTCCTCACAGTGTCCAATACCTCCAGAAATGTCATTTCCTTGAATAGCAATCAAATCACCTGCAAAAGCTGAAAACATGCAGGTCATTTTGCATATCCTCTTACTGACAAATTCAGTCATTTAGGGTTTTTAGTCGTTCTTATTTTTTTAAAAAAAGATTTTATTTTTAGACAGAAGGGAAGGGGGGAGAAAGAGAGGGAGAGAAACATCACTGTGAGAAACACTGATGGGCTGCCTTTCATACATACCCCACCTGGGGACTGAACCTGCAACCCAGGCATGTACCCTCACTGGGAATCGAACTGGTAATCTTTCACTTTGCAGGATGATGCCCAACCAAGCCACACCAGACAGGGCTTCAGTCATTCTTAATAGTAAAATATACACCACTCTTGTTGACTGCTGGTGTGATCCTTGCGGATTTTGACAAGATGGAACTGACAAAACGAATGAAAAAATTAGTTTTAAGACAAAAACTGTAACTATAAAAGGATAAAAAAATACAATTTACCTGAGGAAAAATTAACTAAACATGTATACACAGGATAATATTGAATGAGAATATAGGACTATTGACAAAATTACAAAGTTGATCTGAAAATTGATAATTATGATGGGCTATTTTATATACTATATGATCAGGAAATGAAAATCACAATAGTTGTTATATACAAGTTGTATAAAGAATTAATAAAATATTTCTAAGAACTTACAAAAGATTTTGTTTGACAAAAATGCACTGTTTTTAATCACGAGTACACAACTGAAAACATTTTGCAGAATTATGTACAGCTGTGAGCACTGGGAAAAAATCCATAATTTGCCTGATTAGAGGAAGGTGCTTATTCTCACATGGATGAAACTAGTTAGAGAAAGTACTACTACACAGTGCAGTAGAGGAACAAACTCCAACGTGGTTCTTTTGGACTATACCACTGCAGCTGTCATAGTGGAACCAGGAACATGGTCACTAGCGGTATCAATAGAACAAGGTATCTACTAATTGGATCTTATATGAATACACTTTAGAGATGATAGAAGTCCAAGCATCAGAATACTCCAAACCATGAAAGTACAATTAGTTGCCTGGTGGACACATGGAAGATTACAGGAAAATTGAAACAATGGATTTTCATGTGGACCTTGGGAAGGTATGTGTGGAAACCTACATCTCCGAGTAAATGGGAATCATGCAGTTGACTGTGGTTTTGAGGATACTCCTGACTGGCAGAGCAAGGAGTCATGGAAACAGACAGGAAGCAGGTGTCCTTAAGCTTCTGTGCCTCTGTCTCCCTGCCCGTACGGCAGCTCCAAAACCTGACTGATGACTCCAGTACTTCTGTATTCCAAATCTCACACAACAAGGCTTTTGGTTAATTCTAACACGGAACCATTAAAAAACAACAACAAAAAACCCAGATCCTAGAAAATGTCACATTACCCAGGTGACAAAACATGACTTAGAAGAGCTATCCCCAATTCTTCATTTTTATTGTCCAGTAAGCGGTCTATCCTAACGCAAAGTCTATCATTCCAGTCCTAGCCCTAAGGAATGACAAAGAGCAAATAACCAAAGATGTAAATACAGTTAACCCTTGAACAACATGGATTTGAATTACGCAGATCCACTTATTCACGGATTTTCTTAAAGTGACCCACACAGTCCACACATCAGCTCTGCAGCTGGGAATCAGTGTACATAGAGGGCTGACTGTAGTTATACTCAGATTTTCAACTGTGCAGGAGGTCAGCACCCATAAACCCTGCATGCTGTCATTCACATCAGACTCTGTGATAAATTTACAAATTTATGCCATCTTTTATTAGCAAGAAAAATGGAATAATGGTCTTCTGGCCAAAAAAAAAAGTAGGTTTTCTCATAAGAAAGGTGGACTATACAAGGTCTGGCACAGATAATGCCCCTTTTTTATTACAAAATCTTTCATTACGAAATCATTAAGCATATAGTTCTGTAACATATGACATTTTAGGTCAAATGTTGAATTTGCTGTCCATCTGTGCAAGACATTCATGTACCCTACCAACTACAGCCAATGGCATTACTTCTGCCGGACCCTGTATAATGGTTAAGGGATATACAGTACTTGGCACAGGGGGCCAATAGGAAAATCCCAATACCAAAATATCATACATTTATTTATTGATACCTCCTTATTTACAAAACAATGGAAACATAAAAATTAAACCTACCTGTATATTAGAAATACACTTCAATTTACCTATAGATCAGTCTTCAAAATGGAAAGAAAAAAATGTTATTAACTAACTTAAAAAGAAAATACCTATTAAACTTATGTAGTATTGCTTAGAGGATCGCCTCAATGTTCATTTTTGGAAATAATAAACATCCACAATTCAGAAGTCCACTTTAAAAATGAGGCACTGATAAAGGGAATATATTTATAACTTTTATAATGATTCTTTCTTGTTAGTTTTCTGGAACATTATACATGGATTGATTTATGTCAGGCTTCCTCGCATTATTTATATTCATAGGATTTCCTTCCAGTGAGAGTTTTCACATGTAAGAATGAAGGCCAGTTGATGTCTTTTTCCATACTGTTTACATTCAAGAGGGTTTTATGCAGTATGAGTCCTTTCATGCCTCCTAAAGGAACTGGGACGACTAAAGGCTTTCCCACATTCTTTACACTTGTACGGTTTCTCGCCAGTGTGCATTCTCACGTGCCCTCGAAAGGTAGTACGGTAAGTGAAGGCTTTTCCACATTCTTTACATTCAAAAGGCTTCTCTCCAGTATGAGTATTTTCGTGTGTTCGAAAGGATGTGTAACAACTAAAGGCTCTACCACATTGTTTACATTCATAGGGCTTCTCTCCAGTGTGAGTTCTTTCATGTATTCGAAATGAACTGGGAAAATTGAAGGCTTTCCCACATTCCTTACATTTATACGGCCCGTCTCCAGTATGCACTATCATGTGTGTTCGAACACTTGAGGGAGAAATGAAAGCTTTCCCACATTCTTTACATTTATAGGGTTTCTCTCCAGTATGCTTTCTCATGTGTCCTTGAAAGGTTGTGCGATAAATGAAAGTTTTCCCACATTCTGTACATTCATAGGGTTTCTCTCCAGTGTGTGTTCTTTCATGTATTCTAAAGGAACTGGGCCAACTGAAGGTTTTACCACACTGTTTACATTCATATGGCTTTTCTCCAGTGTGAGTTCTTTCATGTGATCGAAAAGAGCTGGGACAACTGAGGGCTTTACCACATTGCTTACATTTATAAGGTCCATCTCCTGTGTGTGTTATCATGTGTGTTCGAATGCTTGAGAGAGAAATGAAGGCTTTACCACATTCCTTACATTCATAGGGTTTTTCTCCAGTGTGAATTCTTTCGTGTATCCGTAAACCTAGAGGAGAACTGAAGGTTTTGTCACACTGTTTACATTCATATTGTTTCTCTGCAGTGTGAGTCCTTTCATGTCTTCGAAAAGAACTGGGACAACTGAGGGCTTTACCACATTGCTTACATTCATAGGGTTTTTCTCCAGTGTGATTTCGTTCATGTATTTGCAAACCTAGAGGCGATCTCAGGGATTTACCACACTGTTTACATTCGTAGGGTTTCTCTCCAGTGTGAGTTCTTTCATGTGCTCGAAATGAAGTGGAGCAACTAAAGGCTTTTCCACATTCCTTACATTTATAAGGAGCATCTCCAGTGTGTGTTATCATATGTCTTCGAAAGGTTGTGAGCCATGTGAAGGCTTTCCCACATTCGTTGCATTCATAGGGCTTCTCTCCAGTGTGAGTCCTTTCATGTCTATAAACAGATTTGTGGTAACTGAAGGCTTTCCCACATTCCTTACATTTATATGGCTTCTCTTCATATTCATGATACTCATAAGGCTTGTGTCCAGTGTGAGATCTGATGTGCCTATTAAAGGATGAAGGACGCACAAAGACTTTTCCACACACACTACATTTAAATGGTTTTTCGCCAGAAGAAATTTCCTTGTTCAGATTAAGATTTAGAATCTGGCTGATGGTTTCTCCACACTGACTACCTTCTTTGCTTTCATAGAGTTTTTCTACCATATGACTTCTGTAAAAAAAGTGAGAAACATTATTAATGATTTCTTTGTTAATTTCCTACTTATTAGGGTATTAGAATTACATTTTTTAATTTACAAAAAAAGTGGATGTTTTCTGACCTTTCTGAATTGTTTCAATATACTGAATGCTCTGTAAGAGGACTTGAGTACAGCTATTATGAAAACTGTGAAATTAATATATGAGGTTAAGGGTAAGTAAACTTGAAGTAGGAGTTGTTTTGTTTATTTTTCAGAATTCCTGACATCCTAGAATTCTAATTTGGGACAATGCTGTCTAATGAGTGACTCACCTTACTTTTCTCCCTTGGGTTTTGTACTGATTTGCAATGTTATGATCTTCCCATTTTCCCCCGAAATGCAGACCTAGAAAAATAATTCAAAATTATTATAAATTGGAGAAAAATTATTGGATTCCAGGTGCAGGTTGTGCTTAGTTTATTTACTAATATATTTCTTTTCCCATGTTGAAACAATACTTAGCTGCAAGAAATATTTGTTCTCAGTCAGAGGAATGGTGTTATGAGAAGTGCTCTTCATCTCTCCCCTCGAAATTTCAACAATTTAAACAGCTTTAATTTAACGAAGATTCTCTGCTCAATGTATAAACACGTCTGAGAGACCAGAGTATTGAAACATATGAAGGTGGGCATGTGGGAGTGAACTGAGGGGGTTGGAAGGGAGAAGAGCTGAGATGGTGCCAGGGACAGGGCCCAGAGCTCATAGCCTGGAGAGGGGAGGAATCGGATTGTCACCGCACTCCCTTCAGCAGGGAGGGCCAAAGAGATTCAGTGAAAATCCTGCACGAGTGGGCAGTACATGCTGCAGCTGAATCCAGTGACCTGGGCAGGGATGAAGCACAGAGGTGCAGCCACAGTTGTCTGGCAACCGGCATTCCAAACAGAGAAACAAAGTCACGGAGCGTGGCTGCCTGCCTTCACTCTCCCCTCATCCTCCCAGAGCTAACAGCAGGCCCCAGAAGTAGCTGTAGCAGTTAAGTGTCAGCCTGCAGAGCACATTATCTGCAAACCTGAGAACCGGTACTACAGAAACATTTTTCCTCTGTAACTAATCCCAAGGTTGGGTGGAGATACAAAGGGGAAGCCACTAAAACTGCCAGTCACCATTACTGAAAGAGCAAAGCAACCAAGGCAGCAGCCATCTCCCCCCAGCTCACCCTACCCGCTACTCATCATGGCTGCACTGCCGCAGTGTTGGGCTGCAGAGGACAGCACTGAGATTTCATTACACTTCCCTGCAGGGTTAGTTCCTGAGACTGAGACCGAGGCAAACACAGAAGAAATTCCCACCTCCCCAGGGAACACACTTTCCACCTCTCTGAAGAAATGTGAAAAGCGAGAGCAGTGCAAGAGAACTCAGAAACTTGTGCTTCAGCGTCACCTACTAGAAAACAATAGAAACACTTTTCATCAATTTACTAGAGAAGTGCGACTCATAAATACCTGCCAAGACAGAGAAGAAATCCATTAAATACCATGAATAACCAAGGTAGCAAGACAGCACAGAAAATGAAAAATCTTCAGAAAATAAACTTCAAGTCATGGAATTACGTGATTTAAATGATATTACAATTCTGAAAAAACTCAACAAGTTACAAAAAAGCATAGGCAGTTTAATTAACTCAGAAATAATATCAGTGAATGAAAAGAGTACTTTATTAAAGAGATTGAAACTTTAAAAAGAATCAGATAGGGACTTCCAGCCAAGATGGAGGCGTAGATAGATATGCTTTGCTTCCTTGCAAAACCAAAAGAAAGATAACAACCAATTTAAAAACAAAAAACCACCAGAACTGCCAGAAAATCAAACTTCATGGAAGTCCGACAACCAAGGAGTTAAAGAATAAACAGGCTGGTAGAAGGGGTGAAGAGGACGAGCGGCAAGGTGGCGGACCTGGCAGGTAAGGCGGCAGCTGGCAGTCTGGGATATCCCACATTCACATGTAGATGAGCTGGAAGGAACAACTGGGGAGTGAGACAGACTGCCCAACCCATGGTTCTAGTGCAGGAAACTAAAGCCTTAAAACGTCTGGTGGTAAAAACCTGTGGAGTTGCAGCAGAGGGAGAAACTCAGCCTCACAGGAGAGTTCGTTGGGGAGACCCATGGGGTAGCTTCTAGCACATACACAAACCCACCCACCTGGGAACCAGCAACAAGCGGGCCCAATTTGCTTGTGTGCAGCGAGAGAAGTGACTGAAAGTGGGGTGAGAGCCAAGCAAGTGGCATTGTTCCCTTTCTGACCCCTTCCCCACATGCAGTGCGACCACCCAGCCAAGTGGGTTGCCCCGCCCTGGTGAATACCTAAGGCTCCAGCCCTAACTACTTAACAGGTGCACCAAGACAAAAAAATATGGCCCAAATGAAAGAATAGATCAAAACTCCAGAAAAAGAACTAAGTGATGGGAGCTAGCCAACCTATCAGATGCAGAGTTCAAAACACTGGCAATCAGGATGCTCACAGGAATGACTGAGTATGGCCACAAAATAGAGGAAAAAGTTAAGGCTATACAAAGTGAAATAAAGAAAAATAAACAGACAACCAACAGTGAAGGGAAGGAAACCGGGACTCAAATCAACAATTTGGAACAGAAGGAAGAAATAAACATTCAACTGGAACAGAATGAAGAAACAATTCAAAAATGTGAGGAGAGGTTTAGGAACCTCTGGGACAACTTTAAACGTCCCCACATCTGAATCATAGGGGTGTCAGAAGCAGAAGCGAAAGAGCAAGAAATTAAAACTTACTTAAAAAACTAATGAAGGAACACTTCCCCGATCTGGTGGAGGAAACAGACTTTCAGAAAGTCCACGTAGCGCAGAGAGTCACAAAAACATTGGAACCAAGGAAGCACACATCAAGGCACTTACCCAAGATTAAAGATAAGGACGGAATCTTAAAGGCAGCAAGAGAAAAGGAAACAGTTACCTACAAAGGAGTTCCCATAAGGCTATCAGCTGATTTCTCCAAAGAAACCTTACAGGCAAGAAGGGGCTGGAAAAAAGTATTCAAATTAATGAAAGGAAAGGACCTATATCCAAGATGACTCTGGAAGGGCAGATAAAGTGCTTCCCAGATAAGGTAAAGTTAAAGGAGTTCATCATCACCAAGCCCTTATTATATGAAATATACTGTAACAGCATAATCAATAAAATATGCTTTAAAAAAAAAAAGAAACAGAAATTCTGGAGCTGAAGAACTCAATAAAGGAGATAAAGAACCAGTGAGGTCCTGGCTGGTGTGGCTCAGTGAACTGAGCACCGGCCTGCAAACCAAAAGGTCACCAGTTTGATTCCCAGTTAGGGCACGTGCCTGAGTTGTGGGCAAGGTCCTCAGTAGGGGATGTGCAAGAGGCACCTAATCTATATTTCTCACCCTTTCTTTCTCCCTTCCTTCCCCTCTCTCTAAAAATAAATAAAATATTTAAAAAAAAAAAAAAAAAAAAAGGAACCAGAGTGTTTAGGAAATAGAGCTGACCAGATGGAGGAAAGAATTAGTGATATGTAAGACAGAAACCTAGAAATGACACAGAAAAAAGAGAGACTTAAGCATTAAAAAAATAAAAGAGCTCTACAAGAACTATCTGACTTCCTTGGAAAGAGCAATCTAAGAATAACAGTAGTACCAGACGAAGAGAGGGAGAAGGGAATGGAAAGCCTAGTCAGAAAAAAAATTGATTAGAACTTCCCAAACCTATGGGAAAGAGCTAGATGCTTGAATCCAAGAAGCAAACAGAACATCTAATTACCTCAATTCAAAAAGACTTTTTCCAATGCACACTGTGTTCAAATTGTTAAAAATTAACAAGAAAGAATTGTTAAGGTAACCAGGGAAAAGAAGACAGTAACCTATATAGGAAAGCCCATTAGATTATCATTGGATTTTTCAGCAGAAACCCTACAAGCTAGAAGATAATGGAATAAAATATTCAAATTACTGAAAGAAATTACCAGCCAAAAATAATATATCCAGCAAAGTTATCCTTTAGATATGAAGGAGAAATACAGACTTTGAGGACCTCCCTTGCAGAAAGTACTCCAGGGTGTTACTCTAGCTGAAACAAAGAACAAAAAGTCACAAAACTACAAGTAAGATCACTAACAGGCAGACAGAAGCAAAATATCACAACCCTTTTTTAGAATAGGGTACTATACATTTAAATATCACATAAAGGTTAAAAGAGGTAATAACATCAAAGAAGAGGAAGAGTCCTGGTGGGGTGGTTCAGTTGGTTGGAACATCGTCCTGTATACCAAAAAGTTGCAGGTTCAATCCCTGGTCAGGGCACCTACGTAGGTTGTTTGTTCAATTCCCAGTCAGGGTACATACTAGAGGCAACTGATCAATGTCAATGTTTCTCTCTCTGTCTCTGTTTCTCCTTCCTCTCTCTCTGAACTCAATAAGCATATCCTAAGGTGAGGATTTTAAAAAAAGATGACGAAGGCAGTAACCACTGCAAGTTGGGAGTAAACTCACAGCATAAATAGGGATAATTTGTGACAACAAAAAACACAAAAGGGGAGGGGTAAAGGTCTGATTTTGTAAAGGGAGCAGAGATTAGATGTATTCAGAAGAAAAAGAACTAGTATACGCATATGTATAGAACTTTCTTTTACATAAACCAAATGGTAACCAAACACAAAAAAACCCAAAACTGAAACACATAACTTAAAAAAAGAGAAAATGGAAAAAGTATAGAATACCGCCAAACAAAAACAACAGATAGAAACACAAAGGAGAAGAACCAATGGGGGCACAGAATTACCAGAAAACAAAAGATAAAGTGGTTATAGGAAATCCACAATCAATCAATAATTACCCTAAATGTAAACGGACTGAATTCACCAATAAAGAGGCACAGAGTAGCAGACTGGATGAAAAAACAAAACCCAACCATATGTTACCTTTAAGAGACGCATCTAAGCTGCAAAGACAAAGGTAGATTCAAAGTGAAAGGGTGGAAAATGATTCTTCGAGCAAATAACATCCACAGAAAAGCAGGTATAGCCATCTTACACTGACAAAATAGATTTCAAGATAACAGAGGTATAACAAGAGACAAAGATGGACATTTTATAATAATAAAGGGTACACTATATCAAGAAGATGTAACACTTCATCTAGGTATATATGCACCCAATCAGGGAGCAATGCAGTATATAAAGCAACTTACTCATAGAACTAAAGGGAGAAACAGATCAAAACACAATCATAGTTGGAGACTTTAATACTCCACTGACAGTTCTAGATAGACCATCCAAACAGGAAATCAATGAAGAAATATCGGTCTAAGTGATACAGTATACCAAATGGAAATAATTGACATTTACAGAGCCTTTCATCCCAGAACACCAGATTATACATTCTTCTGTAGTGTACACTGAAAAATTCTCAAGGATAGACCATGTGTTGGACACAAAACCAGCCTCAACAAATTCAAGAAGACTGAACTAATACCAACATACCCTCCCACGACAATACTTTGAAAATAGAAATCAACTGCAAAAACAAAGCGAAAAAATCCACGAACATGTGGAGATTAAACAACATGCTACTAAAAAATGATGGGGTCAAAGAATAAAAGTTGAGCTCAAAAGATTATATAGATATCGACGAGAATGACAATACAACATATCAAAACTTCTGAAATGCAGTGAAAGCAGTAATTATAAAGTGCTTGTTTTCTAATTAACAAATTAAGTAAGAATGTAGTAATCCCTACCTATTGAGGCCAGGTTCCTGTAGGTTTCCCGCATCACATTTCTATAGAGTTTCTTCTGTGAAGGGTCTAGTAAAGCCCACTCCTCCAGGGTGAAGTTCACAGCCACATCTTCAAAGGTCACTGAGTCCTAAAACATTGCAAATATGTGTACAGTAGGATTCATGAATCTGACATCACCAGAGGTTTATACTCAATGTATAGGACGATTACATATGATTCTGTGGTCTCCGAACATTTGTTTTATGCCTTGCTCAGTAGAAACTTATTCTGCCCACACTTCCTCATCAATTTAACAGCATCATGAATACATGCAATTTATGCATTTTTGCTGTGATCACTTTAAATATTATTTCTCTCTACTGACAGCGTCTACAGCATCTTGGAGAAATGACAGAAATACTATACAAATGAAACAAGTATCATTTTAAGCACATCACTTCCTTGTGAGAAAAACTCACCTCCTCATTACCTACCACTTACTCAGCACTCCAATACGTACAGGGTCAAATCTACATTAAGTTTTAATGAATAGAAAGCAAAGAAAAACTGGAAGCTTATTTTTCTGTTCCCATCACCAAATGAGAGTCCAGGCAGCCTGTGGAAATCCAACTTGTAACAAGGATCAGCTTGCCATATCAGCCTGAAATATTCTAGGCCATTAAAAGTAGCCAGATCTGGCTGACTAAATGAAAATATTCTTGGAAACAGTAATACTTTTAACTTTTGTAATATATATCATAGACTCCGGTTTTCCATTCTCTGTTCTATTTTGTGGAACTATAAAGTTATTCAGAAGTTAGGGCTCAGACAACTTAGCATGATATGGCATGCTAAAAAAGCAAGGCAACTAGGTCTCCACGAACATCCTATCCACACGAACCTCGGGGCTGCTTCACACCAGCTTTTAGCACACATACTGAGATGATACGGTGCTAGGAGAGCTCTTTTGGTCAAACCCTAACAGCGTTCCCTGGCTCTTGCTGACCTGGAAGAACAGGTTAAGAGCTGCACATTGCAATGGAGTTCATTGAAGTCCACAGTGGTTTGATGCGCTACCTGTAATTATAAAATCTTATTAAAAAATTGTTTGCCAAGGACAAATACAAATCTTAAAGGTCTCTAAAAATGGAAAAAGCCTTAGTCATCTGAATAAATAAACTTATTTCAACTGTAATAAATTAGTGCACTTTCTGCATTATTGTACCTGTCTCATGGCGGAAATTTTGCACGCCCCCAACAGGGTTCTGGCCCACAACCCAAGCACGTGCCCCGACCATGAAATGAACTAGTGAACTTCTGGTTCACAGGCCAGTGCTCAATCCACTGAGCCGCATCAGCCAGAGCTCATGACTGAAATTTTAAAAAAGAAATGATTAGATATCTGGTTGCATCTGACTATACGTATGGATGTGTGTCTACCTTTAGAATATATTAACAAAATTGGTTTGTAAAAAGCTCTGTTTAACTAACTTAAACTAACCCAAATGTTTTTCAGGTTCTGGAATAATAGTTGATATTAAAATTCATCAAAATAGTCAAGTCTTTAGAGTTATCAACAAAGACAAGTTAGAATGATGCAAGACTTTGTTTAACATCTCATGTTTTGTGGGTAATCTAAACATATTATTGAGAATAAGTAAAATAAAAAGACATAGGTATGGACAAAAAGTTTTTTTTTAATTTATTTATTTTTGGACAGAGGGGAACGGAGGGAGAAAGAAAGGGAAAGAAACATCAATGTGTGGTTGCCTCTCACGCATCCTCTCCTGGGGACGTGGCCCACATCTCAGGCATGTTCCCTGGCTGGGAATCTAACTAGTGACCCTTTGGTTCACAGGCCGGTGCTCAATCTACTGAGCCACATCAGCCAGGGCTGAATAAAAAGTTTTTAGGTGAAACTTTTTAGTAACAATTATATGTATTTAAAAACTATTTCCTAAAATCTTTTTCTAACTTTAAACTTTAAAGTTTTGCTAGCTAGATTAACTAATGGAATTAACTGAACATTTAGATCATTTTCAAAGATAAAATACTGAAAATACTTTTAGCTTCTTATTATAAAGAAACTAAAAGATAAATTAGGGTTTGTTATTAAACATGTGACACTGAAAGACTGTACTATTTATTTATTTTTAAGTTTATTTTTAGAGAGAGGGAAAGGGAGGGAGAAAGAAAGGGAGAGAAACATCAATGTGTGAGAGAGATATCGATCAGTTGCTTCTCACATGCTCCCAACCAAGGACCTGGCCTGTAACCCAGGCATGTGCCTAGACTGAGAATCGAACTGGCAACCCTTCTGTTTGTGGGAAGATGCCCAACCAATGACCCATACCAATCAGGGTGAAAGACTGTATTGTTAAAAGTGCAGCATGTGTCTTGAAATTATGATATATATTCATAAATTGGCAATTTAAAAATAAACTGATGTAACAGTTCACAATAGCTTACTTAGTTTTCATTAGAGTTGAGGTTTTTAAAGGTAGAAATTCCAATACATGTAATTTTAACTACTGGGAATAATAAGGGAAACAACTTTGAATGCAAGAAAAAAAATTTATGTTTTCAGTAAAAGAAGGTATAAGGTATGGAAATGGATTTTTAAGGGAATTACAAGGGAAGTTGTACAAGATTTGGGATGCCTACTGCATAGTATTGGAAATCTGAACCAGGGTAATTAGACAAAGAAAAAAAAAACAAAAGCTATTCAAATGAGAAAGAAAGAAGTAAAACTGTTATTATAGTGTAAGCTCTGACAGTTTTGTTTTGTTTTTTTGTTTTGTTTTGGTAACAAAAGTGCCAGACTTATCAAAGCTTTGATTACAGAGGCATCCATATAAAAAATGTATCCACTTCAAGAGGGCTAACTTGAATAAACACATTGCCAACCACACAGTTAGATAAAATGCCAGGCTACCTCCCGCCACTGAAGATCTTTTGTTTTAGAGATCTTGGTTGATTTTGAATACTGGCCATTTGAGCCATTTGTTTTTCCTCTTCCTACACTTTAAATTCCTCTTTTTTTTTGTTTAGACGCCACCAATAAGGAGCCTGCAAGACCCTATGCCCCCACATTTAACCCCCGCAAAAAAGAAAGACCCCAGGGTCTGTGTATGCGCTCCCATACCCTTCATCTGTTACCTAGCCATGTGGCCCCAGATGTGTTGTGTCATTTCCAGGTCCTATGAGTAATAGACTTTTATTTTTTCAAAGTTTTCTGAGGGTTATTCCCAAAGTGCTTCTTGCAATAAAAAGAGCCACTAGGGCTGGTAAAACCACAACGTTGGTTATTGATAGGTTGAGACAAGTATAAAACAATTATATATAGAAAACCCCCAAAGACTCACACCAAAAAAGCTTTTAGAATAAGTGAATTCAGTAAAACTGCAGGATACAAAATCAATCTGCAAAAGCCTGTAACGTTTCTATACACAAACAATAAACTATCAGAAAGAAAAATTAAGAAAACAATCCATTTGTAAGTGCATCAAAAAAGAATAAAATATCCAGGAATAAATGTAACCAAGAAACTGAAAGACTTGTATGCTAAACTATACAAGACATTGATGAAAGAAACTCAAGACACAAATAAATGGAAAGACATTCCATGTTCATGGATTAGAAAAATCAATATTGTTAAAATGCCAATACTACAAAGCAATCTACAGATTCAGTGCAACTCCTATCAAAATTCCAGTGGCATGTCCCACGGAAATAGAACAATCATAAAATGTGTATGGAACCACAGGTGAGTCCACATAGCTAAAGAAATCTTGAGAAAGAAAAACAAATCTGAAGGCATCATGCTTCCTGATTTCAAACTGTATTACAAAGCTGTAGGAACTAAAACATGATATTGGCATAAAAAGATATACTGATCAGTGGAAGAAAACAGTCCAGAAATAAAGCCATGTTTATATGGTCAATTAATTTATGACAAAGGAGCCACGAATATAAACTGGCAAAGGACAGGCTCTTCAATAAACAAGTGTTAGGAAAACTGGATGCCACTTGCAAAAGAATGAAACCGGATCGCTATCTTACATCGTACATTAAAATTAACTCAAAATGAATGAAAGATACGGAGATCAACGGTAGCCTTATACTGTATTGTTAACGCCTACATTCTGCACCTCACTCTGTCTCGTCACGTAGCCACTGTTATCGTCTCCCATCGTCACAGGAAGGGTGAGTGTGGTTCAAGAAGGTATTTTCAAAGAGAGACACTATTCACATAACTTTTATTATAGTATGTTGTAATCTTTGTTCTGTTTATGATTAGTTATTGTTAATCTCTAACTGCCTAATTTACACATTAAACTTGTTATACTCTTCATGAATTCCGAGAGTGATCCTGGATTCTTTCAAATGTTTACATAGAAAATGTCATATTCAACAAAGTCTCATCATTTCATATCTTTAAAAACTGCTAGACTTCAAAAAAAGTATCTAGTGAATTTTTTATCCCTGCATTTTTTTTAATTGTTCAGACATATTTGTCTCCATCTTCACAACACCATTTTCCTCTGCGCCCCTCCCCCACCCCGTTCCTCAATCCTTTCTCACTTTGGATTTGTCTATGGGTCCTCCACACACGTCCCTTGACTCGACCTTTCCCTTCCTTTTCCCTGCCCCGCCCCCGCCCTCTTGATTCTGTTGTTTTTTCTTTCAACGTTGCTGGTTATATTTGCCTTGCTTGTTTGTTGTGTTGGTAAGGTTCCACTTACAGGTGAGATCATATGGTATTTGTCCTAAAATAAACAAATTTCTATATATCACACTTCACTATTTAAGTTTATTTTTAATTAATTTTTGCTACTTTAAATATTTTAACTTTTCTGTATAGGAAACCACTAAGATTTAATTATTTAAACATGAGTGAGTATAGAAGTGCAAACTATAAAATATAAACATTTTCCCTTATTTTTCTAACAACTAAAATGAGACATAGTTTGTCTCTTCACTTTATTTCACATTGGGAATATTGTAAGAAGTGAGTAGTACAGGAGTTTGCATTTAATCCTGAAACCTACTAGGACTTTCAAATATTTACAAAGTTTGAGTTGCTTTTCCCAATAGTCAATTCAAATAGAAATTCACTTGCTTTAAGAATTGTATAGTTTTTTAAATGTCAAAGTTCTCTAGGGATATGCAAATACAAAAACTGATCTTAAATTGAAAAATGCGCCTGAGAACTTGTGTATGCCCATCTCATAGCCTGAGATTCTGTTGCCTAAAAATGAAACAAAAATTCTGTTTGGTTCCAGGATTTTCTTGCCTTACAAACTTATTTCTCAATCAACTTACATTTTCAAAGCCCAAGAAATAAATAATCTTACATATCACACAGGAAATAAAATTGTGTAATGCTAAAAGAAACTACAGTTAAATCACTGATATATTCAATAGACAAAGGTATCTAATGAAAAGAAATGCAAATATTAAAACCAGCTCAGATAAAGCAGCCAGCAGTTAACATTCAGAAAGTTAAACACATTACTAAGCTTGGGGTCTGAACACTCCTGCTTGAGCCAGAACCCCTAAAGTGGGTCAGTCCCCAGGGAAGGGCCATAGCAGACATCTGAGCAGCCCCAGGAATGAACTGTGGGAGAGCCACACTCTTCCCTCCCCAAGGCTTCCATTCTCAGGAGTGAGGAACAGCTCAGCCTGATTCAGTTTAAGGGTCTGACCCAAATGAATTCCCAAATGTATGAACCCTTTGTCCAGGAAACAGAACTCCTGACCTTCACATAATTTCTCCAGTGTCACAGTCCAGTAGTGCCAGGTACTCACACACAGACTTTGTCAATACCATGCATGCAACACTCAACAAGTAAAAAACAGCCCGGCCTCCAGGCGAGGGTGGTGGCCGCCTGGTTTGGAGTCGCTGACCTCCGGCCTCCGCTTTCTGGTCAATGTTTTGCACCACCGTTTGTATTTCAAAGCACATAAACCCAGTGTTACAAGAATCCGGCAAAATCACTTAAGCCCAGTATTTATGTGTAAGGAGGAAATAAAGTTGTAGGGGACATTTACTAGTTCAACAAGGAAACCCACAAATACCTATTCCTATCAGAAATAAAAATGTCAGTTAATTAGTATGTCAAAGAAACTGATTTGTAACCAGTCATACTGGAGCACTTCTAGATGTTTTAAATGTAAGCCCTGACGGGCCATTTGAAATCACCCAAAAGATAAGGACATCAGAATATTATTACACCCATGGAGGGGGGGGCGCGGCGGGTAGGGGAGACGACAAAAAGGGAAACAAAAAATTTACGTAATACATGTAATAATATTTTATTTTTTTCCCCTGAAGTCCACCTCTTTGGAAATACTTTCTACTGCACCCAAAGCTCTAATTTACTGAAAAACTGTTTCTAGTAAATAAATCTTTTCAAAGTGACAGACGAAGGGCGGGGCAGCACTGGCCTGGAACTGTGGCGAGAGCACACACGCCACCCAGCAGCTTCCCAGGAGGAACATCCCCCCGACCGACTTCCCAGAACGTGCCTGTTCCACGGGAAATATCCCGGGGGGAGAGGCACGGGGGTTTCATACAACGGACTCCAGGTGGTTATTCCCTGCTTTCCTCTCATGTAAAATATAAGCAAAAACAAATCTCTGAAAAGAGCCAGCCGTGACTCAGTGGATAAACGATAAAATACTGCGTCTGTGTGAAATGCACTGCGGCGGACAAATAGTTAATAATGATGCTCTGAGCTAGAGAGGGGAAGAAGATGGCGTCTGGGAATGCGGGGAAAGATCCGGAAATTTAGGGCTTCACTGCCAGCCCTAGGAAGAGCTACGCTGGGGGACGGGACGTGAATTTGAGGCTCTGCTTCCTAAACATTTGGAAAAGTGAGGGGAAATAAGTCCCTTGGGGAGAAAAGGGGAACCGGGGATCCCAGAGACCACAGCTCCTCCACACAGAACCCTGGACACTGAGTCACAATGGTCCCGATGACCCTTCCCATGGTCACCGCACAATCTAGGGGTGACGCGACCAGGCGCAGGCATAGGATGGGACGGGTTCGGGCTGCCGGCAAATCCTCAACGCTGCGTGCCGGAGGGGGATGCCGTCCGAGCTGACTCGGGTCCGCAGACTCCGGAGTGAGAGCTCGGGGAGGCCGGCTCCACCTCAGCGGCTTCCAACCAGCCCCCCGTCCAGTCTCCCGACACCCACTCCTGCCCACTCACCATTTCTCGGTTCCTGGGGTTCGCCTCCCACATGACGACTCCCTTCCGCGGCACGTTCAGGCCGCAACCACAGAAGATGTGTGGCAGCCACTTGAGGTCTCTGAGAGCAGCGCAGAGGACCAGAACTCGGCAGGAGCCCGGGGCTACCAGTCCGCAGTTCACGCGGTCCACGCCAGCCTCAAAGCGCCGCCCCCACAAACGGTACCAAGGATTCCCCTGATTGGATAGCTGCAGGGCCCCGCCCCGTCAAGACTGACTGACAGCAGCCGAGGTCTAGTCGGGGAGTCGATGTTGTCCTGGCGTATTGTCAGACTCTGTCCTTTGAAGGGGACACCGAGTTTAACCAAAAGGCCACGAAGCCACTCATGGAACTGTGACCTTTCTTTACAGACTCTTGCAAGTGACCTCACCATAGGTAATTATGACTCTGGTTCCATTTTGATCGTGGACCATTGCCAGCGGGGAGACGCCCGCCCTTCCCTCCCCCACCCCCACTCATCTGGTACTTGAAAGAATCCTGTGGTCTCAGGGGCATTTAGCTCTGGAGGGAAGTTTGAACCCCTTAGTCCTAGACCAGTCCCCCAGCCTCAGAAGCCAGCATGTGTGAAACATATGGGGCAAAGTAACCACCGGAAAACCTCTTCAAGGAACTCCATTAATACCCATTTGGTGAAAGATCAAAGGAGGCAAAACTGAAAGAACACTGCTTAGTGAAAAATAATAGATGGCAAAAGTATGAAGCATAAAGAATCAGGACAATGGTCATCTGTGGGGCAGGACTGAGATGAATCAAGGACAAGAACATCAGAAGACCCTCAGCACTGCCCACAGGCCATTTATGAATCTTGATGATCCCACGGTGTCCATACTGTTATTACTAAATTGTACGGTAACACAACGTGTATATCCTTTTCTGAACATATTTGATGATAAAATTTTTTAAAAGAAATTCAGTTTTGAAGAGAATATAATTTGTATATGTTTGTTTGCCCTGTAAAGTGGCAATCTGTTTTCTGAAATATGTTGCTAATTGCATCATTGGCTTTTCCCTCATGCAGTATTAGTTTAGAAAAGCTCTGATTGAACAGAGGTTTTGTTTTTGTTTTTAAGAAATCTCCAAAAATCTAACTTTACGTTAGATCCTGGAAGATAATAGGGAGGGGGGAAAAAACCTCATGAAATAACGTGATTTCAGTCAAAAGCTATACCACAGGCATGTTCTTGTAATAATGTTGTTATAAAAACAATGGGTCTTGTTACTTCCTATCTCTAGTTTATTTTTAATTACTAATGTCATTCTTTCCTTTCCACTTTGCCTAAACAAATACAGCATTTAAACATGAAAGAGGCTAGAGAGTCAGTGACTGAATAAAAGAAAGAATAAATGATTTAGAGAAATAGATTGTTAAATTTGGTTACCCCCAACTACAACTTACTCCCTCACTTTTCCCATGGGCAGGAATTTTCAAACACGCCGCCACATTGGAACACTATTCATCTCATCCAAGCAGCTCTAAGGGCTACAGCAGGAAGAATAGCAGAAGAAAGTGTGTAGATTGGTGGGTGTGTCCTGTCTGTATGTCACCGGCCCCAGCTCATTTCTTTCTCTCTTCTGACCCAACTTCTTTATGTTCTTAGAGAGTTGGAGCTAGAGTTTAATATAAATAAAATATATGGCAACATTATCATATAACGTAATGGGGCATGTAAAGGGATTAACATTTGCATGTGTGTCTGGCATTGAAGAAAATGTAAGAACTCTGTATACAGATAAAATTGATGGATCCTTGAGATCCTCTGCTCTTTTTAAAAATTTTTTTTAAAAGATTTTACTTTATTTTTAGAGAGAGGGGAAGGGAAGGAGAAAGAGAGAAACATTAATCAGTTGCCTCTTGGCACGCCCCCAACCGGGGACCCAGCCTGCAACCCAGGCCTGTGCCCTGACTGGGAATCTAACCAGTGGCCTTTTGGTTCGCAGGCCGGCACTCAATCCACTGAGCCATACCAGCCAGGGCTCCTGTGTTACTTTTTAAAGTGGAAAGCTATCCTGGCAAGTGATTTTTACCAGAGGATGAGATGTCTAGATTAAATTTTGCAGATATTCACACACAAACTTCAAAACCGATACACAGCAATATCACAGACAAGGCTCTGCTCTTAATCCTCCCCTGCACTTAGGTACACACACGTGTCAGCACAGGAGCTTCTCTGGCAGCACTCAGAGAACACAGAAGTAAAATTAGTTGAACCCATCAACCAACTAGGCCAGCTTCCTGGGATCCTGACTGTTCTCTGAGTGCTCAGAAGCTCAAAACCAAACACTCAACCATGCACCGTATCGCCTACTTTGAGTGCGTGTGTTTGAAGGTTTTTTACCCAGCCATACTGTAAGGTTTTTTAAAAGCAGGAAATTTTATAATTGGCTTATTTTCTCCTTTGTGCCTAGCACAAAACTCAACAAGAGATTGACAGGAATTAAGAAAAACAGAGATGACTGTCCTAGGCCAAGTCCAAACAACAGAGCCCTTCTTGGCTCAGGTTACAGGCTGCATCACCTTCCCAGAGGTTTGACTGGCCCATTGTTGAAGTCTCTCTCCTCCCCAGAAGTTGTATTTATGTTTGTATTTCAAATTCCTGTCATGTAAAGTGAAGGTAAGTCTATAAATTTCCACCACTGCCAGAGTAGGGCCAACTGCCTATATCCTTTATCAGAATCCAATTCATTTCAAAATGGGGATGGAAAGAGACTTCGCTGGGGCGATGGGTGCACGATGCAGTGTGCAGGTTAGGTTTTATTGAGTTTTGGGGACCAATGTAACCCCAATAAATTCAATAAGAAAATCCAAAAGAAAAAAATCAATAAAGTGGCAAACTGAGCTTTCATTCACGGTTTTGGCAGCAGAAATTGCTAACAAGCCAAGTGCCTATTTAGGAAAATGGGCTACATAACGGTGCACCTCTTAAGAGACAAACGGTGATAATGTATTGATATGTAAAGATATGGGGTATTTATCACTAGAACAATTAAAAAAAGTGTATTGTAATACACGGGGTCCAGCTGAAGTAACTCCTGCTTGAGTGTGGTTGGTAGGGTACATGAATGTCTTGCACAAGATGGACAGCAATTTGAACATTTCACGTAAAATGTCATATGGTGTGCTTGAGTGTGGTACTGTTATGTTACAGAATTACATGCTTATGATTGTGTAATAAAAAGGAGTGTTCTTTTTGCCAGGCCCTGTATATACATGTTACTTCATCTACATCTGTTTTGGTCACGTGCAGACTAAGGGGAGCCCCTACTCTAGGTTTGGTTGACAACACATTGCCACCAGGAACATAATGAACGGGCATATGACTTCCATAATGGACGTGTCTGGGGCGAGCAGGGCAGACTGCTCAAGCAGGTGGGAAATGCTTTGAGAGAGCAAAGAAAGGAGACTGGCCTGGATTTTTTTTTTGTTTTGTTTTTTGTTTTTATATTGAGGTTAGGGGTGAGCTAGGGTGAGATTTTTGTACACAGGGCAGGGGCTACCAGGGATTGAATCTCTTGCCAGTGCAAAAGGAGGGAGCGCTCAGGTTTTCTTATCACCTGTACAGATGTTGGGCACAAGGGGAAGAAGGAGGATGAGGCTTTTAAAGCTGTCAGCTATCTATCTTTCAATAATGGAGTCAGAGGCTTCTGATTTCTGCTCTGGCATGAAAGGAACTGAAAAGGTGACATTGTTATCCTCACCAGGAAAAAGCTAACAAACTTTGAAAATCAACAACTCAGCTCTATCAAAGAAAGCATTGATTCCAGGGCAAATTGCTGTCTCCCAAAATTGGAAAGAGAGAGAAAAATAGCCAGATTGAAATATGCCCACGATATTCTATTCTTAACAGGAACTGTCCTCAAAGTTTCTGTTTCATCAGAGCCTGACTGACTGGGTTTTACCAGCCAAACTGACACAGGGAGGGAAACAGGCAACTCCTCTCTAGTCTTTCTGTCTGAACTAAGCTGACGGTGGGCGGAACGTGAGGTTGATAGATTTTTTTTTTTAAACCTCTTACAGAAAGTAAATGGTGTGTCTTCCAAAACCACTTGTCCACCTCTCTAACACCAGTTGGGTGGCCTGCAATTCAATTCAATTCTAATGCTAACCAGAGTTAACAGCAGACTTCCCGGTTTAAAGACTCAGGTCCACAATACGGCCTCCATTTCAGATGCTAGCCACAAATTGGGAGGCCCAGGCCACACTCGTCTGCACAGCCGACTACGCATTTGGAGGGTCAACTGGACACACCCTCATGCTTGCTAATTCAAGAGAACCACTCTTAGGACTATGAAAAGCGTTTTATTATTATTGGTTGTAAAAGATATAAGTCAAAAACAGCCAAATGGAAAGGATGCTCAGGGCAAAGTGAGGGTGACAGCGTGGGAGCTTCCATGCGCTGTGCGGATGTGACAGTCTCCCAGCACACAGGTGTGCTCGCCAACTCAGGTCTCTCTGAATCCTGGCGTTCAGAGGTTTGGATGGCATTTCCTCACTTAAGACATGGCTGACTGAATCACCGGACAGTGCTGATTAACTCAAACTCTAGTTCTCTCCCCCCCCCAGAGGCTGGGAGCTGGGCTGAAAATTCTAAGCCTCTAATCAAAGTTTGGTCTTCCTGGCAATTAACACCCATCCTGAAACTATTTAGGAGTGAGCAAATCATCTTTATCATTCATAAAGTCCAAAGGCTTTAGGGGGTCTTTCCTAGGAAACATAGACAAAGACCAAATATCTTTCTTATTACATCATAGAAGGTCACAGTCCAGGACATTGTCACATTAAAATATGGAGACAAAATCATAAGACTATAGACACTTCCTCTCTACCCACAACACAGTGCTACAGCGACAATACTCCTGTTCAACAACAGTGGAATACACTGGAGAAACCCGTGTCAGAACTTATTTAAGGAACCTCTGTAGAACCCTAAAGATGATGCGGAGAAAAAAAGCAAGAATGCCTGAGTATAGTTTAGCCTCTGTTACAGCAAATAGCAAACACAGCCTAACCCCCTAGTCAGATAAACATAACATCTCACACTAAAGGCCTACTCTCCTCAGTTCCTTTTTCACAGTACATGATGTTTGGCATTCAACAAAAAATTAAAAG